TGCTTCCAAATGGAAAAATCTGGGCACTGCTTGTCAGGGAAGCCGCCAATCCACACACACTATGCCATTCTCCCGTATCTTCGATTTACGTCCATGGGGGGCGAGACCCTCACATCCTTAAAACTGCACTGTGGCATCATAGAACGAACACCCAGGACCCCGAATCCCTGCTGGAAATCGACAGGGGAGAGCAGTAGGGATAGTAATTTACAAACAAGTTTCATCTTTTGTGCCAACTCCAACTGGCTAGTAGTAGCTGCCTGGAGGGCTGTGTTGAGAAGTATTCTGAAGCCAGGCCCTGGCTTCTTGGAGAGGTGACTCATGATGGACCAACCACAGTTTCTGCGGCTGTAAGCGACGTGGCTTCCACACTTGCCAGTCCTGCGGTGGATACTGGACCCACGTTTCCAGGATTCTAGATTTCTGCGCCTCAGCCAAAGAGGAAGACTCTTGAAGAGATGGACTGGCATCATCGCTGCAACAACAGGCTCACACATACCAAGAACCATGAGGCTGGCCCAGGATGAGCTACTGATTCCTTGTGTCCCACACAAGGTCGCTAGGAGCAGAAGAGGCTCGATGGCGGTTAACCAGGTTTCCTGGGCGCCACGATTCCATTACGAGGGCATGCCCGTTTGATGTCCACACCCTACATTATGTGCCAATGCTTATTGGAGCGATCCCTCTCATTGGACCAGTCACTTGTCAACTGCCCGAGACTGCGCCCGGGCACTTTTCGTGAAGAGCTTGCGCTGACCTTCACAGCGACCATTGGTTGACTTGTCCGCCAATCCTGGCCACGTCACTTGATCCCAAACTTATATTTAGCTAAGGTCCATGCCGCACTCATCACTTTCCAAAAGGCACCACGTGGGCAGCAACAAGTAGAGCACAGCAAAGCCTCACCAAGCAGCAGCTGGGCGCCGCCCCACTGCCGTCTTGAGTCCTGCTCCCGCCCCTCCCCCTTCAGCTTGGGAAGGCAGGCTCTGGTCCTATGCAAGCACCAACAAGGTTCCAAATGACAGCAAGCCATGGGTCATTTGAAAAGAATCCCACACTTGAAATTGAATCCTAGTTGTCACGGCTCTGTCCAGCATCGAGGAACTTGGCGAGTGCCTGGGAGGCTCTGCAGCTCTGATGACGTTGCCCCCACCCCACCCCCATCCCCTGCCTCTGATGATGAAGCTGGTCTCAGCCCGTGAGTACTTAGCTGAATGGAACCTGGTTTATTGCAGATGGGGTGGACGGTGGGGTTTTGCTGTAGCCTAAGGTGGAGCCTGGTGGTGGAGTGGTTGTGCATAGGGCTGCTAACGGCAAGGTCAGCAGTTCCAAACCACTAGCCATTCTTCGGGAGAAAGAGGAGGCTTTCTATTCCCATAAAGAGTTAGTGACATTTTGGAAACTCAGAGGGACAGTTCCACCCTGTCCTATATGGTCACTATGAGTCGGAAATGACAGAGAGGTGATTTGTTTTTTGATAGGGACTGGCAAACATGTTCCACGAATGGCCAGATAACAAATATTTTGGGGTTTGAAGTCTCCGTTACAACAGCTCAACCCTGCAACGAGTGGGTGACAGCAGCCGTCAACAGCATGCATGATCATGTGCCAGCAAAACAGTTTACCAAACCAGGCAGCCAAGCCCTGCCCCAGAACTCCGGCTACCTGGAAGTGCTGTAGGGGATCTGCAAATGTTTGGCTTAACTTCGTTTTAGGCAATTAGGTAACTGTATGAAAAATATGCCCGCTTAATGCATCATCATTTTTAACCTGACGTTAACCGATGCCGCCAGGTTAGCATCTTGGGGGGAGCCTCTCTCGCCACCTCTACGCATATCCCCGAGGAGACTGGTTTAATGCATAAGAGCCTGGCCCCAGGCATCAGACAGATGTGAGTCTCAGTACCACCACTTACTAGCTGTGTGACTTTGGGCAAGTTACTTTATATCTCTCAACCAGCATGGCCAGGGCACCTTCAAATAGAGTGGACACGGGCCAAAGGAATGGGGCAGGGTTTGGGAGGCCCCTTTTGCAGGTTCATGGGAAGACAGAGGGCCAGTGCAGCTGGGGCGATGGGGGAGACCCCTAGGGGCTCCATTGATGTGCAGTATTTCCCAAGTGCCCCAGATATTCCAGTAGCTTGGCTGCCTTGGTACATTCCAGTTGATACTAAGCCCATTTCTCATTATTACTGGTGAAGAAATCAACATTTTCAAAAATTTCACTCCTCTTAATGCCATAAAGGTAGGGTCAAGAAAGCAAATGGTGCATGCGGTATGGGATACATTGGCTGGCAAAGAGCTCAAGAGTGCTAAAAAGCAAAGCTGCTGCTTTGGTGGCTAAAGTGTGCCGGGCCCAGCCAAGGTGTTCTCAGTCAGGTCACATGCATGTGGAAGAACAAGGAAGAACTGGCCCCGTCCAATCATGGGTGTTGGCAGCGAGAGCCTAGTCCACCCCAGGCCGCCCAAAGAACGAACCAGTCTGTCTTGGCGGACGTCCAGCCAGAATGCTCCTTAGAGGCAAAGTCTCGGCGGTTTGGACACATCTTCAAGAGGAGCCGATTGCTAGACAAGGACAATCCTGCTTGTGGCAGAGAAGAATTACCGTAGTAACAATTGTGAAGATGGTGCAGACCCAGCAACATTTTGTTCTGTGCTAAACAAGGTCGCCGCCAGAGGCCCCCGGGCACCTCACCACCAGCACCGTTCATTATCATGCCAGGCCCGTTTCGGACCTGAACTCGCTGGTTTCGGTTTCTTCTAGCTTATGCCACCGCTTCTTGCCACCGGACTGGGCTCTCCTGAGGAAGAGGGGGCAATTTTGCAATTATCTTAGCAGTCCCGTGCTTAGTACCAGGGCTTTCTAAGTGTCTCTAAATGGCAGTTTCCTTTGGGTCTGGGGCTTGTTTGGAGCCTCTGGGCCCAGGGTGCCACAGGACGGGTTGGAGAAGCTAAAAGGGACCCAGCATGGCAGGAGCTGTGGCCCCTTGGACTTGTGCTGCCATGCAGACTAGGGCCTGGAGCGCCAGGGCTCAACCTGGTTTTCTCATTTGCCGGGTGACACAATACGCAGCGCTTGTCACCACAGGGTTCTTCTTGCCCCTTGGAACAATCACCAGGTTTGTCTCCCTGCTGCTCAAGCCCGCCCCCAGGTCCGCTGCCTTTTCGTTCCAGCCCTGAATGCTATTTTTGTCCCCAGGCTTGTGATGCTCCTTTCTGGTACCAGTAATAGAATTTGGATCCTTAATGCCTCTCCATTGCCCACGGCTGTCCATGTCTATTAATGAGACGCCAGCGAAAACCAGGCTGTTGGTGCACCTGAACTCGCTGCTGCCAGCGTCCTGGTCTCCCGTTTCCTGATATTGTCTGCAGCTCTGCCCTGGGGATGGGACCACATGGGTCCCAGAGTCCTGGAGTTCATCTTAATTAGGTGACATCTGGTGCCGCCCCGAACAGTACACGTGCGCACATTGGTCCTGCGGCCTGAGCTGCACGCACAGCCCTGCTGGCTTCTTTGGCCACCAACCCCTTGAGCCCTGGAGGTTCATCCAAGGGCGATTCTGACCTTGTTGGGGTTCAGCCAAGACCAAAGGTGACTCTGGGGCTAAGCTCCCTCTCTCACTTCCTCTCTCTGGAGGCTGTCCGTAGCTGGGATCGGAGCACTGGCAGCAGAGCAAGGCAGAAAGTAGGCCCCCTCTCTCTGAGCCCTTTGTTGGCCAGAGGATCCTGACTGTGGGATGGAAATGACTTTGAACAAAGACATCCTCGTCATCACGTGTCCTGCTGGGTGCAAGGATACCCGTGTCCCCAGATGAGGCTTCTCAGCACAGCCTCCCCAGGGCACCTCAACCCTGGGGCTAGGAGCTCAGCCCCCACAGCTCTTCTGCCCAACTTTGCTCCTTTGAGAACCACCTCTGCTGTGTTCTCATGTTTTTCTCCATTTTAGAAATCTTTCTGCAGTGACCGCGCTGCCTCCCGCTGCTCAGCACTTGTGTCTATACACACCTGGGGCTCAGTCCCCAGAGGGTCAGGGGTCGTGTTCTGACTTGTCTACCAGCTCCCCTCCATACAGCTCACAGCTAGGATCCAGCCCCCGAGCTGGACAGCCGGTCCTGAACACCATCGTCTGCTCACCCCTTGTTGGGCCTCCCGGGGGTCGGTCAGAGAGGGAGGAAGGGATCGATCAAGCAGTGAGAGTTTGGCCAGGGCGTGGGAAATGGCGCTGAAGGAGTTGTGTCAGGGTGAAGGGTCTTCGGGCCTGCCAGAGAGAGGTCGCTTCCCCCAGAATCCTTCCCACGGTGTCCCAGTGGCTGAGCGCTCTTCACCTCTGGGGACAGCTCCGTCCTGTCTACTGTCATGGTCTCTGTGTTGTTTGTCTCATACAAGACCTCCTCATGCTACTGCCCACTCTGCCCCAGGCAGGACCTTACCCTGGGGCTCAGCCCGGACAGCCTCCCACTTCGCCACTGAACCTTCTCCCCCTGAGGTTGGCGCCCCACCACTAGACATGCCTTCTCACCTCTTCTTCCCCCTTGGGGAGAATGGCTCCTCAGACTAGGCCAAACAGCACAGCTAGATGCGATCACTGGGGAGAGGGGTTGGTAAACCTGGGGGTGCCAACTGTCAGTGTGCTCGGCTGTCGACCAAGGAGTTAGCAGGTGGAGTCCACCTAGAGGTTCCTTGGAAGAAAGGCCTGGCCATCAAAAACCCTGCAGAGCACACTCCTACCCTAACAAACGGGGTCAACGTATGTTGGAAACCACTGGTAGGGACTGACACCCAGGAGGTGGAAGGCAGGAACAACCGAACTTTGGCTCAGAGATGAAAAGCAAAGGAAGTACCCAACAGATGGTGTCTACAGCCAACTCTTCCCCTGGAGGAATCTGCAGGCCCCCCTGCTGGCTGGAGGAGTGTATGCAGGCAGGTTAGAGGCTCCCATCACTCCCTCAAACTCCTACCAGGCAAGCTGAGCCCTGATGACCCGGATTACAGAGAAATAGGTCACAGGTATAAACAGCAGATAGGTATTTTGTCCAGTGATTTCCAAATGCTGAAAATGATAGATAAGGCTGTTGTGGACCAAGGTGCAATTTGTCCTCTGGGCTGAAATCTAGCTTGTGTCCTGCTGACCAAGCTGTGCCTCCCAGGATGGGCCTGGGCCTGCCCAGAGGAAGGCTGCTATTTCCTAATGGAGGGCATCTTTCTGTCTGGCCACAGAGGGGCCCTCAGGCCAGCAGCAGCCCTGGCTTCGAAGGCTTCCTTCCAAGAGGGCGACCTTACAGAGTCAAGCTTTGGCGAAAGGAGACTCTGAAGACCACCTAAAAGACGGGGAGCCTGAAGCCCGTGGAAGGGAGGAGCTTACTCAAAGTCATGCAGCTAAACCCAGGCACAGCCTCTCTATCTCGGAGCAGTGTGCTTTGCACAGCTCTGAGCTAGTTTTCATCCCAAGCCCCTTTGCAGGCATCCCGGCTTCTCTGGCGCCCCACCCTCAGTGCCATCAGCTTCCCACTGCCATCCAGCTGCTCTGCATAGTCTTACCTTCCCTGCCAGGACCGGGCCCACCCAGAAGGAGGGGCAGTGAGAATACCAGTCCCATCTGTGTCCCCTCCTATGAATGCCTCACTCACAGGGATCAGGACAGACAGGCTGCAGGTGGAAGCTGAGGAACTAGCGGGGCCCACTGGGCAGCGTGCTGAAGTATCCAGCCCCATGCCTGGAGCAATGGGGCTCGGATAAAGTCGGCCCGGGCACTCAGCTACTGGGCAAACGGTGCCTGCTTTGTTGCTGCAGGCTGCCGGGGTATCTGTGCCACACCGTAAGGCACATGGGCGGCCACTGTGCCCATCTCCTGAGCCCCAGCCACGTGGAACATCTGGTCGTCAAAGAAGATGTGTGGACGGATCTTCTCCAAGAGGGGGCCCTTGGGTGCTCCGGCCAGGAACAGGGCCTCGTCTGTCTCCAGGCCCCAGCTGCGCAGGGTCTTGAGAGCCCGGGCACCAGAACTGGCTGCACTGCGCGCTGTCACCAAGTAGGTGCGGATTGGGCACTCCAGCCTCAGGCCCTTGGAGTAGAACTTCTTCTGCAGCCTACCCAGTGCCTCCAGAAAGCCCTTTAGGGGGCCCTGTGAACAGGCAAAGGAACATGTGAGCGAATCACTCACCCGAACACTAGCCACCCCACCAGGTGGGCTCCCCCACCACACCTTGAGTGTGAATGCCTTGCCATTGAGCATAGAAATCCTCAGATTTCAAGGATTTCCTCTTGCTTGGATCCCCAATCAATGCTCACAGAAGCTGCAATCAAGAGATCGAACAACACACTGCATTAGGTAAGTCTGCACAAGACTTCCTCAAAGCATTGAAAAGCAAGGAGGTTACTTGTGCCAGATCCAAGCCAGGGTATTTTCAATCGCCTCATATGCATGTGAAAGTTGGACCTTGTATAAGAAGATCAGAGAAGAATTGATGCACTTGAACTATGGTGTTGGTGAAGAATATTGCAAGGATCATGGACTGCCAAAGGAACAAACAGACCTGTCTAAGAAGAGTGCTTATTAGAGGCAAAGATGGTGAGACTTCGTCTCATGTGATCAGGAGAGACCGGTCCCCGGAGAAGGGCATCGTGTTTGGTACAGCGGAGGAGCAGAGAAAAAGAAGAAGGCTCTCAAGGATAAGAATTGGCACCATGGCTGCAACAGGCTCAAACATAAGAACCATTGGGAGATGTCACCGGGCGGCGGGGCTGTGTTTTGCTCTGTTGTACACAAGGTCACTATGAGTCAGAACCAACTCAATAGCACCTAACAAAAATCACAACAATAAGCTTCTCAGACTCCCTAAACGGTTTACTTTTGCTGCATCTGGAAGCACAGTGGTAGGTTTCTCACCTTCCGTGCAAGCCCCAGGTTCAATTCCTGGCCCGGGCACCTCATTTGTAATTCTCCCCATCTACCAGTGGAGGCTTGTGGATGGTGGTGATGCTGAACAGGTTTCAGCAAGGCTTCCAGATTCAGATAGATAAGGAAGAAAGGCTTGGTGATCTACTTCTGAAAGCCAGCCAGTGAACACCCCCTGTGGATCACAATCGGCACCACCGAGCATGGGGATGACACAGCAGCGTCTCCTCCCGCTGTGCACGGGGGCGCTGTGAGCTGGGGGTCAAATTGACAGCAGCTAACAGCAATGACAACAACCCCCCCTGCCAGGGCTACTGTGTGCTCCGGACTGTAGGCAACTGTGTGCATCTGTGCATCTGGGTTGGCTGTGTCACTGTGATTGTGGCCATCCGGGTCAGGGCAGCTGTGCCAAGGCAACTATAACGGCAGGTCAAGCCATGTGCACACCAGGGACGCGGGGGTCTTCCCTGGAGCTCTGCAGGGAGGATATTAAAAATACTTGGCAGCTAGGACATGGCTATTGGACGGTGCAGAAGGAAGGCTGAAGAAAGACTCGTGCGTTTGAATCGTGGTGCTGGCCAAGAATATAGAAAGTACCCAGGACTGCCAAAAGGACAAACAGATGTCTTGGAGGAAGTATGGTCCGTGTGCTCCTTAGAGGTAAGGATGGTGAGATTCTGTCTCACATGCGTTCAACATGTTATCCAGAGAGACCAGTCCTGCAGGAGGACATCATGCTTGGTAATGTAGAGGGGCAACAAAGGAGAGAAAAGCCCCAGTAAGATGGGTTGGCACAGCGGCTGCCACCATGGGCTCAGGCATAGGAAAGATCATGGGCTGGTGCAGACCTGGGCAGGGTTTCTTCCTGTTGTACACAGGGTCACCGTGGGTTGGAACTGACTCGATGGCACCTCACAACAACAGCAGGGCATGGGCACCCACCCTCCAGTCAGAACAGACCCCACCTGCAAAAAGCTGCTGAATGTCAGCCCTGCCAATCGGGCACATGGGCGTCCCAGGGTGTCAGGCTCAAGCACGCTGGCACAGGGGGAAGGATTCATTCACACCATGCTCAGAACGGTGAAGTATAGTGAGGACTTGTGGAGAAAGAGCGTGAACAAGAAGAAAAGGAAGAAAACTGTAATCGCAGCTGGAAACAGGGAAACATTCTAACCTTGGAGGCACCTCACTTGCCGGGTGTGGTAGTCACCTAATCTGGTGTCAATTTAAGGATTAAGAGTGTAGGGGTGGGGTCTAGGCTGTCAATCTGGAGATAGCCAATGAGACTTCTGTGTGGGCATGGCCTTCTCCTGAGGATTCTGGGAAATCTGGTACTTCCTCCTTGGAGGCGAAGACACTTCTCTCTTTGCTACTCCCTGGGGAACATTGCAGAACACAAGCCACATGGATGCAACCAGACCCCTGAAGCCGGAGAAGCCAGAGAGAGACCCCTGCCAGCACTGAGATGCTTACAACACTACCACTGGACCCAAAGACTTTCTACCCACTGGCCTGTGATTGTCTTGCATTTGGCTTCATTGCATGTGTTTCGTGAGCCCGAAGAGGACTTATAGATTGGTATCAGACATATGGGCTAATATCAGACTTATGGCCTTGGATTGGGCTGGGATGTTTTCTCAATGTCCAGTTCCTCTTGTATATAAACCTCTCTCTCTCATATACATATGCGTGTTTATGAATTTGTTTCTCTAGTCTACCCAGACTAACCCACCGGGTGACCTGCAGCACATAGTGGTCTCTAGGGCCTCTGCCCACTACACAGTGGTAAAATGATCCTGCTCTGGATTCCCAAGGATCGCCAAGGGAACCGAGGGCAATGGGGGTGAAGTGACTGCTCTGGAGCCACAGTGAAGCCCTGGGATCTGCTGGGAGGGTAGAGAGTACTCTGGGAGTACTGCGCATGCACACCAAGTTTTGTTCCAAGCACCAATCACAGCTCCCAGGAGGCCTGGGAGTCCCAACAGCTCCAATCCCAGGGAGTTTCTCCCAACCTCTCCACAAGATGCTGAGCAGTTTAAGGATGAGTGCAGGTCCCTGAGGGAGGGATGGGTGAGAGGCAGTTGGGTCTCCCTTTACCAGTCCAGCTCTTCCTTTCTTCCAGGGAGGGAAGAGGGGCTTATTGAGGGGCTGGGGGCTTATTCAAGGGGATGGAGGAGCTCAGAGAGGGAGTTGGTGTATTCAAGAAGGGATGGGGTTCCCTGAAAGAGAATGGGGAGCTCAGCCTCAGTGAGGTGACAGGCTTCAGAGGGGAGCGGGATCTCACATTGGGACTAGTGGTACAAAGAGGGGTGTGGGGCTTTGGAGAGATGAAAGGGTTTTCGTGAGAGGGAAGGGGCTTTGGGAGGGACTTCAGAAAGAGGATTGGAGCTGTGTAAAAGTGGTAGGGGCTTCAGAGAGGGGCTTAGCGAGGGGGTGGGGACTTGAAGGGGGGGCATCAGCGAGTGGGGTGAAGCTCATTGAGGGGAATCAGAAGCCAATCAAGAGGGGTGAGGGCTGGAGGCTGGGAGAGGGGCCTTGACTCGATTCTGGGCTGAGCCTGGTATTGGGGCTCAGTCCAAGGGCAAGTTGTGGGGTGCTGCCTTCTCCACTTGGTTCCCGGGACTCTCTGGAGTACCTGGGCCAGAGGCTTGTTCTCGTGGGCCTTCTCATGCTCAAAGAACCTGTCCAGCCCGTGGGCCTTGACAATGCGCTCCGACTCATCTGAGAAGAGCACGGCATCCCCGTCGAAGGCCACACGCAGCTGGCTCTGGGACACCATCACGTCCTTGCTGGGGCTGAAGATGGTGGCGGCTGCAATCCCTAGGCAGAGAGAGGTCACCATGAAACGGTCCCCAGCTGGGCATTGAGGAGCCTCCTGAAAACCCCGAGCTGCCCATGGGGTGCAAGAAAGGGCTGTCCCAGGTGATCCTTGCCCCACCTTTCTCAACTAGGATTTGGGATAGACTGATTCCACGGCTTGAGTCGTGTCCTCCCCTAAATTGTCAAAATGCTAACCCTGAGGTCTGTCCATAATGAGCTTTGATAGTGTAGTGGATTAAGCACTGGGTTGCCAACCTCATGGTCAGACGTTCAAGCCCGCTAGTCACACCCTGGGAAGAAAGCTGCCTGCTCCTGTAAGGATGTCCAGCCTCAGAAGCCCCAGGGAACAGTTCTGCTCTGTCCTACAGGGTCGTTGTGAGTCAGAGTCAATTGAATGGCAGTGGTTTTTATATCTTTAAATACAAGCCTGTTTGGACATTAGAATTTTCTTTTTGTTATGTTAATGGCACCATGTCAGGGTAGGGTGGGTCCCACACCCAATCCCATCTGAAGAGAGGAGAATATAGAGACCTGTACGAGGACCTGGTGATGCTGCTAACCCCAAGGTCAGTCATTCCAAACCACCAGCCACTCGGCGGGGCAAAGAAGAGGTTTTCTGCTCCTATAAAGATGTACAGTCAAACCAGTCCGGGAGCTCCCCTAACCCCTAATAAAGCTCTTTCTGCTTCTAAAAAAAAAAAAAGAGAGAGAGAGAGAGAGATGTACAGTCTCGGAAACTCACAGGGCAGCTCTACTCTGTCCTACAGGGTTGCTTTGCACCGGAATCCATGGTGAGCGGAGTTTGGCCTTAAATTTTGAGAGACCTATACAAGGGTTCACCACAGGCTCCTGGTGGAGACACACAGGGCCTGACTCTGGCTTAGCCTCAGAACCCTCTCTCTTGGTTCTCACACACCCCTCACCTTCTCTAGGCAGTCTGAGAATGAATGGCCTTCTCAACTCCGTCTGGGGCAGAGATCCTAGGCTGCAGTCTCAGGTCGGGTAGGGTGGGGTGGAGGCACCCTCAGTCTGCCATCATGAAGGCCCCCAGGCGGACAGCACCAGACATGTCTGCCTGGGAAGACTCCCTTCAGTCCTGGGTTTCTCCCAGGCTGGAGCTTCACCAGACAACACAGAGAGACTTCTCAGAGGCCAGATTCCTGGGCAGCCAGCTCAGTCCACTCCCCGTTCTTGATTGATTCAAACTCCACTTCCACCCTGTCTTTGGATCACAGGGGCAGGTCTGACAGATCTCTGTGGGGAGTGGGCAGTGCCAGCTTGGGAGTTCCTTATAGCAGGCTGCTGTAAGCAAGAGCAGGCCCTTGCTTACAGGCCAGACACCTGCTCAGCTCAGCCATTGCTGGAGCCAAGATGAAGCCCGCCCTGAGCAGGGCCCCTTCCTGACCACTCCCCTGCTCCCTAGCCCAAGGTCAAGTACAGATGCAGATGCACACTAGTGCCAGGGCCCCAAAGGGTGTGCCACCCAGGAAAACGGCTTTTGGTTAAAGCAAGCCTCTTGGAGCTCCCCAGCAGCTCAGGGGGAGAGAGGCTGGGCACCCAGCCGGGAGACAGCACGCAAGAGGAAGAGACAGGATTCTTCTGTTGGTGGCTAAAGACCCCACCACTAGTGTTTGGCTTGAGAAGCCCTCTCCGGTAGCTCTACGGGCAGCACTTCCTCCTCTGTGGCCTGTTCTTTTCCAGGTGCAAGGGGATTCACACCCTCCCGGGAGGCCTGAGACAAGGTACGATCCCACATATAACTGCCCCACAAGAGACATATGGGTGGTGGTCACAAGAGGCACATAGGGTGGGGTCAGGTGGGAGTTGGAATCTCTTTGCCAGCATTTGAAGTTGGGTCTCCTAACCCCACCCCCACCCCCCAGCACTGGGCAGCTAGCTCCGCGGCTGGAGAAGATGGGCATTTCCCAGGCCCACTGCCCAGGCTGAACTAGATAGACTTTCTTCCCCAGAAAGGGGCAGGGGGTGCCCAGAGTCACACAGGAATCATACCACTTGGGCTGACCTGGAGGCGTCTTAGAAGCAGCAGTTGGTTGCCTGGGCGATAAGAAGGGTTTAAGAAGGGTTTCCATGGAAACGGGAAGCTGGGAGGTGCTGACGAGTTCAAGTCCCCTTAATGCAGTAGGACAGCAGGCAGGAGAGTGAGAGACCCCAAACCAAACCCACTGTCTCCTAGCCGATTCCAGCCCCTAACAACCCTTGGGGTTTCCACGGCTGTAAACGATCCTGGAAGCCACAGTCTCCCCCAGACCACCTACCTCAGGGTTAGTGGCTGATCACGGAAAACAGCAGCTGCCAGGGCTCATATGAAAGTGCGATAGGTATGGCTAGGTAGGGCTTTGCTCTCAGTTTACACGGCAGGGGACACCAATGCAGCTGGCCCTTCCAGTTAGCAGGGCACCGCCTTACCCACCCACCCAGCACCTGCTTGGAGCTCTCGGACCAGCCCTCCACCCCGGGATGGGAGGTGGGCAGCACGACTCTTCCTTAGACTCTCAGTCTCCCCCCTCCTCAGTCTGACTCACCTTCATCGATGGCTTCCCGCACCTTTTCCGCATCCGCTGACAAGTAGAGGTTGGTGTGATAGGCTTTGAGGTAGCAGATGGGGCTGTTCCCACCCGTCATGCAGAACCGCTCGATGAACAGGTCTGCAGAGTAAGCAGAGCGTTCCGAGTGAGGCCAGGGCCAGCCCCAAGGGCTTCAGAGGGGTCACTAGGTCCAGTGGGCGGCATGTTGGCTCTCAGTAGTGGGGATGGGAGGTGGGCAGCACGACTCTTCGTGTAATTGTAGGCCAGCATCCCTCCTCTCTGCGCCCTTCTCCATCCTTCTTCATCCATGAAATCACCCTTCTCTAGCCATTGCCTGACTCAGCACAGCAGGCTCTTGTCAGTGAATCGTCACACTCTTAGGAGGTGGAGCCCCCAGCCGAGACTGATATGGGACCTTGCCTTCCTGGTGAAAGCTGATTGGGTGAGAGGAAAACACGTGAGCCACGGCGAGCCACTCAAGCGGGCTCTTTTTCCTAGCCTGGGTTGATAGGCAGCTGATACCCAGGTGGCACAAACCGTTAAGAGCTTGGCTGCTAACCAAAAGGTCCGTGGTTTGAGTCCACCCAGAGGCACCTCGGCAGAAAGCCCTGGCAATCGACTTCCACACAATTGTATTCCACAGAGCACAGTCCTTCCCTGACAGGCATGGCGTCACCGTGGGCTATAATCAACTCCGTGGCAACAGGCTTGGTTTGAACCACAAGCGCAGCTGCCGGGGTGGTGCAAATATTTGCCGGGGGTGGGGGTGGGTTTAAATGGCTGTTGGTCGGAGCCTACTGAGTTATTCTGTCACTGGTAGGGGTCATGCGGCCCAGCGGGGGCGACTCAGGACCCCGCTCCACCACCAGCTGGGCGCTCTTCTGATTCCTTCGTGATTATGCCTCATGCTTTTGGTGAAATGCTTCCATTTGTCACAGCGGGAAAATGGCCGACTGCGTGCCCTTGGTTACTTAAAGCAAGGACCTGCTAACTCACCAATTGCAGCCCTGTTCAGGAAAGCAAAGAAGCCCACTTGGGGGAGAAAGACAGGTCCGAAGAAAAAAAAAGGAACAAGGAACAGACTTGCAGAGGAAAGCAGAAGAAAGGGCTCATGTCGCTCAGAGATAAAAACCCAGGAGCGTTTCCCTTCCTCGGATTCAGGCTTTTTGAGGCCCTGTTGACTTCCTGTGTGTGGTCTAAGTTAACCCATTGACCCAACCTTCTAGTCGTTTCTGACTCACAGGGACCCCATAGGACAGGGCAGAATAACCCAGTGGGGCTTCTGAGGCTGTAATCTCTACGGAAGCAGATGGCCACTTAGTGGATGGGGGTCAAGTAGCCCAGGGTGTGACCACAGCACCGGGGCAAACAGCCTTCAAGCTGCCCGTTCCTGCCCCACAACAAACCAAACGAACTCACAATGAGTCATTGGCGACTCAGTTACCGGACAGGACAGGGTAGAAACTGCCTTTGTGAGTTTCTGAGACTGTAATGAGAGTAGAAAGCCTCATCTTTCTATCGTGAGCAGCTGGTGGTTTCGAACAAGTAACCCCTATGCCATCAGGGCTCCCTCAGACACACACCCCCACCCTCCGGAAACCCAGTAAAGGAGTCTTCCTCGCCTTGAGCTAGGTTTGGAGGGTCTGCTGCTTTCAATCAAGAGTTCCAACGGTTCTCAACCTGTGGGTCGAGACCCCTTTGGGGGTCGAATGACCCTTTCACTGGGGTCGCCCGATTCATAACAGTAGCAAAATTAGTTATGCAGTAGCAATGACAATCATTTTATGGTTGGGGGTCACCACACATGAGGAACTGTATTAAAGGGTCTCAGCATTAGGAAGGCAGAGAACCACTGGTTTAGACAAAGGTGAGGGGATTTGGGGCCTAAACCAGGAAGGTGGGAGGAGGAGTGAGCACTAGGACTGAAGGTGATTACATAACTCATTTTAAAGGCAATTTAATCATGGGGGCAGGGGAATGTTCTGAAATTGTGGTAATGATTGTACAATTCTTGATATGATTGAACTATCGAATTGTGTGATACGTGGATTAAGTGCCAATCAAACTGTTAAAAAGAAAACACCTGTGTACAACAAGGGGATGAAAAAAGGGTTTAGACTAACCTATCTGAGGACAGCACTTGCTCCCCCCAGCAGCGCACTAAAGAGGGGGAAACCGAGGCACAGAGGCAGTCAGTAGCTTGCTGGGTCAGCGCCTGCCTGTGCAGCGCTGTGCTCTAGCTGGGCTGCAGCGGCTCACTAGAGCCCAAGTGTTAGGCAGCCAGCGTGTTTTTGCAGCCGGTTAGGTGGTTAGCCCATGGTAGCTTGCTATCAGTCACCGGTGAATATCTATCCACACCCAGAAAGTCAGCAGGGCTCTGGGGTTTCCAGCCCGTGTGGCCTCACACTGCCTGCTGTGGCCCCGCGCCCAGAGGTCTGGCGAGGTGTGGCACCGCCCGGCCCCTCCTGCTCACCGTAGTGGTTGATACTGTTGATGAGACGCACTCCCACTTGCGCGTGGTTGTTGGTCATGAGGACGATATCGAAAAGGTCCTCACTGTCGGGGTACAGCTCCCGCAGCCTCCTGTTCACAGCCTCCAGGGCCTGCGTGGGCGAGGGCACATGGGGCTCAGCCCCAGGGGCACGCGAGGAGGGGGAGCTGAGATCCCGTGGGGCAGAGCGTCGGTGACCAGTTTCGGGGTGGCATCAGTGAGTGGGAGCTCCTTTCTCGTTAGGCTGTCCTCTGTCTCTTTGACCCCACAGAGGCACACAAACGGATGCGTGGGCGTCAAAATCCAGCCCGTGCTCCACTGCCCAAACTGGTGACCTGGCACCATTGTGGTTGTGAGCTGCCATTGAGTCACCCCTAAGGCATGGCAAAACTCCATGCACAATGGGATAGGACCCACTGACCCAGTCTCTCGTCGACGCCGACTCAGAGCGACCCTCTAAGACAGGGTTGGAACCACCCCATGGGGAACGCGGCCCAGCGGGGACCCCCTTTCCTTCTCTCCCTCGGGTCCGTAGGACTGGTGGTGGAAGTGCACCCTCACCTTCACGAAGGGGAAGGCGGGCCCCGGGCTGAACGGCTCGTTCTCGTGGTCCAGCTGGTAGCGCACGTACTCCTCCACGCCCTGCTCCGTGTAGATCCGCTGCTCCTCGTCCATTCGGAACAAGGCTCTCGAGGACACGGCGATGGTGACTGCGTTCTGGGGCTTGGGCTGCCGAGATGCAGGAGGGAAGAAGGCTGCTTAGGCTCCCGGAGCACTGGCAGGGGCGCCTTGGCAGGCCCCTCCAGGGAGAAGGCCAGTCCCAGCCCTTGCCCTAAGGATACTCAGGTAGGGGCAGACCTAGGTCAGGCCACCCTCTGGGCAGGACAGGGTTGGGACTTAGGGAGATGTTGGGAGGAACACAATAGGATGTGATTGACATGCAAACCCATTACACAATAGAAACCCGAATGCCAAGCATATAGCCAAAGATCTCCAGATGGTGCCCGTGATAAAATGAGAACTACATGCCCTTAGGAAGAAATGGTGCTGGAAACATGACAACTGCATAAGAACATTGACCTCCACCCCATAGCTTACTCCTGAGCACCAGACATCTGAACTCACTGCTCCAGTCAAGCTTGACATGCTCCAAGCAAAAGTCCCACCCCTTTTCATCACCTCCGTGCTCAGCACTGACATCCACCCCATTGCCCAAGATAGATGCCCGGAAGTCAACCGGATGCCCTTGCCTCACCAATGAACCACCAAAACTCGTCCACTGGACTTCTAGACCCCATCCACTTCTATGGGGTGGCAGTTACATAATCTCTTGTCGACTTGGTGGAGTCTAGCCTGTCAATCAGGTCGTAGCTTGACCTCATTTGGAGGCACAGAGATAAACAGCTGACTGGAGGCCAGATACAGACTCTGCTTTGGCTTCCTGTTGACAAACCACATGGAGCCTATGCTGACGGCAACCAGAGCCTGGGAGCTGGAGCCACTTGGAGACCCACACCAATGCTGAGATACTTCCACCACCACTGGATCCATAAGACTTTCCACCCACTAGCCTGTGATCTTCCTGCATTCAACATCATTGCATGTGCTGCATGAGTCTAAAGAGGAAATTATACACTGGTATCGCACATATGGGCTAATATTGGACTTATGGACTTGATCTGGACTGGGCTGGGATGATTTCTTAATGCACAATTGCTCTTTATATAAAGCTCTTTCTTGTACACATATGAGTGTCTATGGATTTGTTTCTCTAGTCAACCCGGACTAACACATATGGCCACTACCACAGTCCATTCTCTCTCACCCACCCTCAGTCTCTCCTCCAATTGTGGCCAGATGGGGATTTCTAAAACCCCTGCTTGAAACCTTCCCACAGTGCCCACTCTTGTCGGCAACTTTTAGTCCACCTTTGGCGGCCCTTCATAAGAGAATCCTCCTCTCTCCGCTCTCACTCACTCACCCCTTCCTCCCGCACCCACCTTTGTGTGCCTGGACCTCTCTGCTGTCTCTGAGCATATATTCACTCTCCTTATCTGGCCTTCACGGGTGATGTTCTCTATGCCCGAGCCACTCTTTCCCAGGTTCTAGCCAGCGAACTTCTAGACAACTTTGCAGCCTCAAACTAGATGTTAACTCCACTCTGGGCTGAAGCCTGGGACTCAATCAAGACCCCTATCCACTGTATTGGGGCTGCTACAGAAATGAGCCCTGCCCCTAGGGAACTTATGGTCTATTCCCAGGGCAGAGATTTGAGGTTGGTACCATCCTTTAGAACAGCAGTTCTCAACATGTGGGTCAAGACCCCTTTGGGGGTCGAACAACCCTTTCACAGGGGTCACCCAATTCATAATAGTAGCAAAATTACAGTGATGAAGTCGCAATGAAAATAATGTTATGGTTGGGGGGTCACCACAAAATAAGGAACTGTATTAAAGGGTCACAGCATTAGGAAGGTTGAGGACCACTGCTTTAGAAGGAGCCCTGGTGGAGCCCTGGCGGTGTAGTGGTTAGGAGCCGGGCTGTGATTTACATGGTCGGTATTTCAAAACCATGAGCAGCTCTGTCAGAGAAAGACTGGACTTTCTACTCCCATGAATAGTTACAGTCTTGGAAACCCACAGGGGTTCTCTATGAGTCAGCATTGACTCAATGGCGGTGAGTTTTTCCAGAAGAATGTAGCTCAACAGAACATCCTGTGGCAATGGACATGTTCTATAGTCTGTGTTGTCCAGTGAGATATCCACTAACTGACATTTGCCTGTGAAGCACTGGGAATGTGGCCAGTGAGATTGAAGGGGTGAATATTTAAAAATTGTATTTGATTTTAATTAGTTTCAATTTAAATAGCCACATGTGGGTCGAGGCTACTATGTTGAACAGCGCAGCTTCACCACTGCAAAGCAGGAATGGGAAATCAACATATTTTCCAAACCCATGTGGTGACCTTCAGCTTGCACTTGACTTTTAACCTCTGTCAGGATGGGGTCTGTAGCCTGCAGGGTCAGTGTAAGGCGGCAATTGTGGGCAGGTGTCTCACCCAAATGCCTCTCCTGGTTGCTGACTCCCACTGTGTGTCTGTGTGCTTAGAATGGACACCTCTTAAGCCCCTGGGCAACTGTGAGCCTTGAGGAAGAGAAGGTACATTTAAAAGCGGGAAAGAAAAGAGGTGTTGGAGGGATGGCTGGGCCCTGTGGATCTTTAGCACAGTCTGAGCTTGCCTTCTCCCCTGAGTGGATTACCTTGGGGACAGACCCATCACCTCTTCAAGGACAGAGAGCCAACTTCCCTCCCACTGAGCCTAGGCAGGTTCCCAAGCCGGCCGCCCCAGGATAGGCAACCAGCCAAGGTCTCTCTCCTAACTCTCTGTCCCACAGTCCCAGCCAGATTGCTGAATTCAGGGCCCTCTGGCTCAGCAGCTACCCAGATACCATCCTGCCCCACCTCGGGCCAGTTTAAGAAAAACTGGCCTGGCTGCCCTTGGTCCTAGTAGTCTCTGGGACAAGAGTCTCAGAGAGGGGCAGAGGATCACTCTAGGCCACACAGCAAAGTGAAAGCAGAGCCAGAATGAGATCCCAACGCTTTGGGTCTAGACCAGACTCCATCCACACAGCAGCCCCTCTGATGAGTACCCCAAAGACCTAACCCTTGTAACCTCAGCTCCTCTCTTGAGACAACACCTCTGCGTGACCATTCCCATGGTATCCTGCCCACAGGATGCCTCCAGGGTAGTGGTTCTCTATCTTCCTAATGCCCCGACCCTTTACTAGATGTTGTAGTGACCCCCCCCCCAACCATAACATTATTTTCGTTGCTACTTCATCGCTGTAATTTTGCTACTGTTATGAATCGGGCGACCCCTGTGAAAGGGTCATTCAACCCCCAAAGGGGTTATGATCTACAGGTTGAGAACCGCTGCTCTAGGACCTGGTTCCAGTTCTGAGACCTGGTGGTCAGTTCAGGTTGGTTTGTACCCTTGCTGTAGCAGCAGTGAAGTGTTGACGTCTTGTCACTACCACCTGGACATTCCCTAGGGGCACTTGGTACGTGCAGCACACTGGACTGAGCATGCTCGTAGGGTCTTGTTAGTTGCTGTTGAGTTGGTTTCCCCTCCTGGCAGCCCCACGTATGCAGAGTAGAACTGTGCCATAGGGTTTTCATGGCTGCCGATGCCAGGGATAGCCCTGTCTCCTGAAGCACCTCTGGGTGGGATCAATCTGCCAGCCATAGAAACTTAACCCCATAAACCTCACAATCACCCACAGGTATTGTTGGTCCCTCTCATCTGACAGATGGAGAGATTGAGGCTTTGGGAGGTCAAATGACTTGTCCAAGGTAACACAGCCAAAAAATGGCAAGCCAGGACATGGCCATAGCTTCTGTATGACCTTTGTAGATTTGGGACAAACTGGGCATGACTTCTTTCCTCCCTAGCTTTCCCCTCCCAAGGAGGAAACTGGGAGGCACCAGGGAAAGCCTCCACAGGGAGGCTCTGGTGATCCAGAGGCGGGGGCACTGGCGCTTCAGACTGGTGGCTCTATGGGCAGAACCTTGCCTCCCCACCTCGACTACTCCCACACCGCACCTGTGAAGGAGAGATGCATCCCAGCTGGGGCATGTGAGTGGTCTGGCCAGACTCCACAGAGCTGAAGGAAGCAGAGGAGAGAGAAGCCAGAGCCAAGGGGGTAGCCACCGGGGTCGCTCAGGAGCCAGGAGCCCTCCAACAAGGCATCAGCAGGTGCCAAGGTTGCACTCAGTGCCTCACCCAGCCCCGACGGAGGCCCAGAAGGCTCACCAAGGCGTAGAGATTGCCCGGTGTGGCCCTGGCCAGAGCACTCAGAGACCCTTCTGGGACTAGTCTCAGAGGGCCACCACCTGTCATGTGTTGTCAAGTACAGCTAGGGACAGAGCTCCTCCGGAAATCAGAGAGAAGCCCAGATCCCAGACTGGTGATTGAGTGAGAACATTCTGCAGCCCAGTCTGGGGCTCAGCCTGGAAACCCTGGGATCCTGGGAGCCAGGGTGCCACCAGCTCTCTGCTCCCACCATGGCTGGGCTGCAGGCCCATTACTTGACTTGGAGAACATGGTGAGAAGGGGGAGCTCAGCCCCGCCCTCCCCTGCCTGCCTGGGGAGCTCCCATTTAGACTAGCATGAGTCTGCCTGCTGTGCCCAAGATAGAAACAGAGTCAAAGCTGTTATTTCTAGAAGGACTTATCTGGAGAGAGAGGAAGTCCTCAGCACCCATGAGGTGAGGCCCCTTTTGGGCCTTCAGGAATGACATAGGTCCTCCCTCTGGGCCGCTGGGGTGGAGAAAAAACCCAGGCCAGGTCCTGATGGAGCTCATGAGGCCCAAAGCCCCTACAACAGCCTGTGGGAGGAGAGGCCGCAGTAAGAAGGCATGAGAACCCTGGGCTTCTGCCTCACAGAAAACCCAAGGTCAGCTGAAAGGTCACACCAACCACTGGGCCTGAGCTCCCAGGTGCCTCCCAGTCTAGGGGGACAGAGAATGTTTATGCTCTGCTCACCTCACCAGTCAGAATGCCCCTTCCTTCCTTCCTCCCCACCCCACCCCCCAGGCCACCCATTAGTCCAGCTTCCTGCTCAGGCAGGGACAGCCTTCTCTCAGGTCTGCCTGCTGCCAGCCTCTCCCTCCCCATCCATCATCCACACTGCCCCAGGGTTTTCTTTCTAGAAGGAAAACAGCCAAGTT